TAGTAGCAGTAATCAGAGCTGCAGTGCCTGATCTCCTATAATTATGTCAAAACAGACGTTGTTGTCTTCCCGTGCTTGGCACAGTGGTTATCAGTGTGACAGCTCAGACAGTGAGAAGGACTGTTCATGATGTCAACCTCTATAGGCAGCCTCAAAGAGAAGTACCCTTGCTCGCTCCTTGGCACGAAGCTGCAAAATTAAACTTTGCTAAAGGAAACATGCAAAGAAGCCTGATGAATGTTGACAGCACACTTTTGGTCAAATGAAACCAAGATAATAGACTTGTTGAGCTTGAGTATGAATCCGGAGAGACTCTTACAGTGACTGCGAAGTCCTGACAGTGAAGCACAGAGGTGGAGGTGTGATGATGTGGGCATGCTTGAGGGTAAAAGGTGTTGACATTTATAGATGGCACCATGAATAACTGTGGATTTACCAAAATACTGGCTCACAAGACTGCAGAAGCTTAGTAGAAGAGGAATAGTTCAGCATGTTAATAATCCAAAGCCAAAGTCACACATTAGTTTCTAAGGAGGGAAAAATTAAAAACTACGACCTGGTCAAGTACGTTGCCTGACTTGTATCCAGTAGAACACCTCTGGGGTATTTTGAAGAGCAGATTAGAGCAACGCAAACCCTCCAGCAACGAGAGCTGAAGAATAGCGGAACATCTCTCCTGAAATTTTAAATCCTCCTCGGCAAGGAGGATTAAGGCTATCATTAAAAAGAAAGTTAGAAATACAAAGTGTTGGGAGCAAAAAGGGATTTGAATCTCAGGAGTTATCTCAACTGTTGCGTGGAGTGGGGGCCTGTATATAATAAATCTGAATAGTTTTTAATTTTACACATGAGCAAATACTGTTGAATTTAAAGTAATGCAGTTATTGAGAGGTGACACAATTTTGAATCATCTGACATATGAGTGCTATTGCATTGCCTTGTTCTATACTTGTCTTATGTTGTATAACAAGGTGGAAAAATGAAAAAGAAATGTCACACATTTTATTTTAATCCCCCGAGCCAGGAAGAGAGTTAGTATACGAGAAGGAAGTGCCAAGAAATGTTCATCATTTCACTGCACAGACTTCCTGTAAATAATGCTCTGAAAGTTACACACTCACTTCCATTATTCAGCATCTTTTGTTAAAGGCAAAGTGGACTTTTTTGTTATTCAGGATTGGTGATTTATTCACAACGATATGTACAAAAAAACAAAACTATTTGTTTGAACTAACTCAAACAGCAGGACATAATTTACCACAGGAAAGCCATCAGTTCTCTATCACAGACTGTGGGCCCAGATTGAAAGTTTAATTTTGGCCAGCATGTGCTCCACGTTCTTCCTCAGTACGTGGTTTGGAAAAAAAAAAAAAAACGACACATATCACATCCGTCATACGTGCCGGAGGGGCTATGAGAGTGTAACTGTAGTGTGACTGATTGAGAAGTGAGCAGCCGGCAGCTAACTCACCGTCTTGTTTGCTGCAGGAACCATAAAGGGAGCTGATATTAGGGTCACACTGGGATCACTTCATTATTTCCTCATGAAACAGAAGTCTTTCTATTAAACAATGAGGTCAGATTAATATCAGCAATATAAACCTCTTTTTTTTTTATTTTTCCTGTGCTGATCTTTATACTCAAACGTTTTCACTGTTTTATTATCCAACAGTTTTTTTCACTTTAGAAGCTGCTCATGAACTGTAACGTGTCGGTGCCGTGACGACGCCGGGTGAATATCGGGGAAGCTTCTGATTTATTTACTTTCCTATCTTACCGACATGTTTAATGACCTGTGATAAGTCACTGAAGCGTCTCCCTCAAACCTGTGACTAGGAATTAATAAGGAGCGCCGTCTGGCAAGTAATGAAACGCACAATTTCTTCACAAGTTGGGTTGAAATATGTCTTTATATGTATTTATTTGTAAAGCATTGAGACACAACGTTAGCTTCAGTTACTGTATAGATCTTATTAATATGTCAGGAAGAAGGAAACTAATTTAGAGTCTTTTTTATCTTTTTTTTTAACACTAAATGTCATCTTTTGCAAGGAGCCACATTTGTGTGATTATATTTTTGATGATAAACTACAAACACTAAAAGATTCTTTGATTTTTCAGTCTGAAAACAAAAGAAGGAATGGGTTTATTAAAGAAGAAAAACGGTGCATCTTCCATTTGCCATGTCATGCAACCCAGTATTTGGTAGATATATTTGCATAGAGCAAAACCTTAAAATATTACAATTTTAGTGTCGTAAATGTTCTAAGTAGGAATGAAAATACAGAGCAACTCTTTTTTTCTTTTGGCTGCATTTATATTGTAGAAGTAGATGGAAAATATGACCTTTTCTGTTCTCTTGTAAAAGCAATTAACTGTTATTACCATCTTAAATATTATATCCATGCTTTATTGTTGACCCTGAAAGAAACTGTTACATACATAAATACATACATTGTATACATAAATACATACATAAATCATCAATATTCAAACAGACACACGGTCTCGGTGAAGTCCATCGATGCTGCATGTCTGACAGGTGGAGATGATATGTACAGCTGAGGTCTACTACAGTTCATGTAGAGCTGGGAGGGAAAAAGAGTAGAGGAGGCAGGCAGAGCCGGGTGGGTTGTTGTTGGGGTTTTTTTTTTTTTTGGCACTGTTAGCAGGAGGTGAAAGTTTTCCAGAAGAAGTTTTTACAGGGGGCTTTACGGTCGCGCTGAGGCAACGATAGCCTGTTATAGACAGCCCTCTCCTCCAGACGAGACTCCAGCGGCTCCTCCAGATCCACGGGGGCCGAATCCCCCGGCAACATGTTGGTGTCCAGGGCTCCGTCCAACAAGCCGGACACCAGCTTCAGGATCAGCTCCTTGCGCTCTTTGCTCAGCTCCTGATTGAAAAATTCAGAAAAGAAGAAGGAAATGAGGATTTTTTTAAACAACAAGAATTTTGTTTCTTTTCTCCTTTGAAATGACAAGATAGATTAACAACTGTGTTAAATCTCTGTTAAATTAATGCAAATTAGAAATATCATGCTTCATTTTTTCAACAAAAATCCTAATTTTCAGTGAAATATGCATTATTTAAACTACTTCCCTGGTTAGATTTATTAAAAATAACACTTGAAATGATGAGAATATTTTCTCTCCTCACCCTGTTCATATGGATGGGGCTCCTATCCTCCACAGGAAGCACGGCAGCTGCTCTAACGCTGAACAGAACCCCCATGAGAGCTGCTAACACCACCAGGAGCTGCATGCTGTGACAGGAGTGCAGGTGACAGACCAGAGCTACAGTCACAGGAGGCTGGAGGAAGGTAGGAGTGTGTGGCTTGAGTGTGCGGTAGAGAAAGAAGTCCGAGCAGCTCAGACTCAGCCAGAGATCCAGAGGAGAGTGGTGAAGGAAGTGCAGTGGAGTTGGTGGCGGCCGCTCATGAGAAGCCACAGATGTTTCTTCTCCTCTACCTCCAAAGTCCCTCTCCCTTTTATACACCTCTCCCCCGTCTGCCGCTGACGTAGAGGGTGGTGGGTGTATGACGGAGGGTGGAGGGTGTATATGTGCATGTTGTTGGGTGTGTGTGTGTGTGTGTGTGTACATGAGCATGAAAGAGGAGGGGATACGGAGGGGTCAGGATACAACAAATGGAACCGTTTAAAAGTTAACCTTTGTGACAAATTGGGAGTGCGATTCACCGCGAGGAGGGAACATCTGCAGCAAATGACTACGTCAGCGGGCAACAAAACAGGTTTTGACATCAACTAATGTATTGATAGTTACGACAGACGATCTCAGACAATACCTCTCCGGCAGGTGGGCGGACAATTCCGCAACTCATCATCTGTAATAAAATGGTCACATTTCACTGTAGCAGCAATCAAGAGAGTCTAAAAGGAATACAAATTCAACATAAGCCGACTTATCTTTCGCCACAATGCAGGTCGGTTGTTTGGCGCTTTACTTCAGGCGACATCTGATTCCTGTCACAGTGGTTCCGTGTGTCTGTTTGACACCTGCAGATTACAATTGAGCGGTCTGACACTCCTGTTGACTTGGGAGGTGTCTTCAGGAAATGCACATCATCTCTGGGAGCGAAAAAAAAAAAAAGACCCAAGAAGCAATTGTTCCTCAGTAGATGGTTAACTTTGGTTAACATGTGGTATTTGGTAGATTTCTGAGTTACAAACAAAATAAGGTCCTTTAGGTCATAATAGAACCAAAATTATACAACTTGTCCAATAAATGTGTGTCTGCAAAAGCTGTTTAACTGTATTCCGACTTCATAAGTCATATTAATGTCTAGAATCTTATTCTCTCAGTCACTGTGAGAGTACGATATAGTCCGCTGAGATGTATTCTGGGCTGCAGCTGCCTCACAATATATAGACTAATCTGTTAGTTAGAAACCGTTTACAGCCACCAGCACACATTTAAAAGTTAAAATACCTTTATTTCTTAGAAAGAACTTTCAACAGCACACTTTAGGGGGTTGCTCTGTACGTTGATTTATGATTTATATAACTTTAACTCACATTATTAAGAAAAATGAACACATTGCATTGCTTTTTTAAAATAGAAAATCTGTTCTTTTTTTTTTACAAGTTTACCTGCAAATTATCAGGTTAACAGCTGTTGCAGCTGACATTAAGATTCATTTATGTGTGATATTTAGAGCTACAACACATGAATGGTGTATTTGTAGCTAGATAACACCACTAAATGTACTTTAAGGTGTACAAAGAATATTTATATATATATAGAGGGAGAGGGAGAGATTAAATTGTTTGGCGTGTTTGAGAAGCAGCCTTAAACCTCCATGACATACAGCTGAAATAGCACAATTAACAGCGTTTACTGTTGTGCTGCTGGCAGAGAACATACAGTCCTTACATTCCAATGCGCCGCGTTTGACGTGTTCAAATGGATTCGTCACGCTTTCAGAACAGTTTTTGGGGTATTTTCTTCTGATCTGAAGAAGGCCCAAAGCCAATCCAAAGATTACTGTTGAAACGGTTACATTGGCAATTCAGTGTGTTTGAAGAATCTACAACAAACTCGCTGCCTTAAAGGCTCCTGTAGTCTAGCCTGCAAGAGACTTCAAACAGTGAAAAACGTCAGCATGACGACTGGCATAGGTTCTCCCAGATGGTAATAACGCGCATGGAAGTTTCCATTTTCACGACATTCTGTGGCGTGGGCCAGCACCACCTCAACAACTACGTGAAAGGGATCACCGAGAAACTCTGACTCACAGATCAGCGGAGGACTTTCGCTGTCATCTAACAAATGGGTGGATCTGGATATGTGGGTAATTCTGTCGGTTTCACTGCACTGGAAACATGACAGTTTTAATAGATTCACTTCCAAGTTCTGTGTCGGCAGTGCAGAAATGATCATTAAAAACCACCAACATCAAATTAAATATTCATGGATACTTGTTCGGTGGAGTCAGCGGGGACATGTTTCATTTTCTACATTGCGGTATGTGAACACTCAGGAATACAAACAACCTTGCAGTGCAGCTGAGAATAATGTACCGCATTGTTGCAGGTTGCTCACATCTTAATAGAAAACAAGTGAGGACGGAGGTCTTACGCTGTAATAACTGAGAGTTGATGCAACTGAACAGCAACATCGCCGCAGTGACGCTTCACAAAACACTGAACAATTTAAAGCAGCCAAAGGGCTTTTTGTTGAAATTCAAAGAATCTGACCAGTGTAATTTAAATGCATTCATTTCCCACCACTACCATAGCGTAGACTGAATTAAACATAAGAGGTTCAATGGTGCCACCTTGTGGGTGAACACTGATGCTGCACTTTGACGTGTCGACAACACTGCTCTTAATAGAACCTGAGTTTATGATTGACTATTAGCAGAGAACAGCAGCTTTAAAGAGTCACATATTAATTTCCATTTGGTTGAAATGTGATGCTACGATAGGTAAGCATTAGCTCGGAACTTTTTTTGACAGGTTTGGCACAAGAAACCTTGAAAAACGGCATTTTTCTACAGCTGGACTGAAAGAAGCACAGAACATGCTTCAAATATTGTTTTTTGATCAAACACACCCTTCAGGAAAACCAGAATTTAAAATTTAAATAAAACAAAGCCCTGTGTGTTTCTGTTATTTTGTGCATTTGTGCAAATTAAAGAATCAAACACACACCAATCACAAATATCCATTTTGTGTTACCAATTTATTACAGTTCATAATTCTTATAAAAACACCAATTCATTGCTCAGGTACGACACTATGTCTCAACTAAGATTCAGATGTGGACTTAAGTAACAAATACGTACTAACATACGATGTTTTACATTAGCTCAACAAACCACGCTGAAACATGAGATTTCCACTGGGAGAGAAATTACCTACAGTAAGACTCAGAATGTAGACTTACTACAGTACAAGCTTATTATCAGTGGTCAATACCCAATACACCAGTTATAACTGCATAATGAATTCACATTTTAAAAGACATTTCTTGCATTGCAAAGCACTAATGCCATTTTTTTTTTGTTACTTAAATTCCATTTTAACACCATAAAACTACATTTTCACATCAGTTGTAGCCAATCGAATTTGATTAATTTTCAGTTGGTAATATCATAAATGGATATTTAATTCTTGAGCATCTGTCTAGGACACCATCTGTCTGGTACATTATGATAAGATATAGAGCAAGTTTACTTTTTCAGCAAATACACAATCAATTTCAGGCACTATAGGGTTCTTGTGTAGCGGAAACATCAGTATTCTGAATAGTCATGACAGATGGCAACTGCATAATTTTTTTTCCAATGAGCGCAAACTGATAAACATTTACGAATAAATGTGCAGCAATACATCACATATATACAGTATATATACTCTATATTGTATGTAATATATTGCATAATGTGTAGATACAGTGACTAGAATTAACAGTACAACGTTTCAGAGTGAGGTCAGGTTTGATGAAGCTCATCCCGTTCGGCCCAGCCCACCGGATAACTCTACACAAAATGCTGATTAGACGACGACGACGGAGTAAAAATACATCAGGGAAACAAACACAAAGAGCGTGTGAGATTAAAGGAAACATTGAATCAAACAAACACTTATTTTTTTCTGGATAACTCAGCAAGTTCCCAACAGCTGATAACTCTCTTGGTTAAAGCTGAACTATGTTGAGGAGGTGGAGAAGGCGCCGAAGAAGGTTGTTTATCTGTGGTGTGTGCGAGGGCCCGGTAGAGGATGAGGATGGCGGTCTGTTGTTGCTGGTCACGCTTCATTGAGAACCTGTCAATGGTTAAGAAGGCAGTGAGTGGAAAGCAGCTACAACGCATTAACAGTTCTGAACGGCACTCTAGTACGCACTGCATACAAATAAAATCAGAAAAGCATACTGGAACAACTCACTTTTCTTGCAAACTCCGGGAGGACGAATGATGCTTTGTGAATTTCAGGGTTGTAATATTTAAGGTTCATATTTTCCATTTCTTCTTTTGACAGTGCTTTCACTGGATCCTTGAAATTTGTTTCCTAATCAGGAAGTGAAATGAGACTTCAGTAATTTGACGGACATGACTGATCACAGAGAAACAGTGGGAAGGTCATCATGCTGTGGAATGGTTTCACAACAAGCCGGTACAGTTTATAGGCAGTCCAGCAACAATCAGGTGTTCGGTGGGTGACAAATGGAGAAAGACAAGCGCACTTACGGGATTTTTACTGCAGAGCATGAATCCAATTTGACCACTGGGATACGTTGGGATGGTGCTGTAGGCGTAGTCCACCACAGGGAATAGGGTCTTGCAGAAGGTTCGCATCTCCTTTATCAGCTCCAAATGGAGCCACTGACACTCTCCTGTGAAATTGACACAAGAGCAGAAGGAAAGAGTGTTCATTTCCTGTCTGTTTCTTTGGCACTGTTCCATCTTGCAGTCGTTGGAAGACTGACTGTATAAATATGAACATAAAAGCTCAACAGGAGTTAATACCTTCCATGATTAAGAATCATTGCTTTTGGTGGACTTAAAAACCACATGCATGCTGTCATTTAGTAGTACAGTTATGCCTCCTTAGTAAAATTACTCATCAGCCTTTCTCCAATTTTCAATACAAACCTGTAATAAAACACAAACTTACCCTGGGAGCAAAGAATTCCACCACTCGTCAATGCTGCCTTCATCAGCTGATAGTAAGACTCCTTGAACAAACTCTCAGCAGGTCCTGCAACAAAAACAGAACTCAGTAAGGAACTACAGCCTGACAGATGGAACAGAAAGCTGCTCTGACATTTAAAATAATAGTAAAATACAATGGGCCTACCGACTGGGTCTGAGGAATCAGTTATAATGATGTCAAAAGCATCCTGGTTTTGCTTCATGAATTCAAAGCCGTCGCCAA